TTATTAATTTTTAATAATGTCACTTTCAAAGCAGAGGAAATACGCCCACGACGACATTCCTACTGCGCACATTTGCTTTGCTTTTGTAAAAATTGTTTTATTTATTCTTCTTTTATTTCCACTTTTCTGATTCTTTTACGGGTTTATTGTAGTAATTCGGCGCCCTCACTGCTCCACAGCTCTCAGCGCTGCGTCTATAAACTCCTCTCCTGTAGATGATGATCCATCAGTTTAGTATGAAAACGTCTCATTTCTGTTCCTGCAGCTTCTGACTGAACGGTTCAGACCTGTTGCTGCTTCACGTCTGTAGTCTGATGTTCTGTGTTTAATGTTCCTTCACTATTAACTCAGTTTAAAATGTTCTGCCTCAGAGTTCTGCAGCTGAATGACTGATCAGACCAGAACGTTCTGAAGCAGGAATCAGCACGTTCAGCCTGACAGGGCCCAGTAGCTGCAGCTTATCATGTTCCTGCTGGTTTCCCATCAACACATCCAGGCTTTACATCAGACTCTATGAGGTGTTTAAAAGTCTGGATTTCCAGAATCCTCCAGAACCTGTTCATTAGCTGTTGATTCTGATAAAAGCTCCTGGTTCACGTGTAGATTCTGAATTAATCAATTAATTACTAAAACAACTCAATGAATCAGCTGTTTCTGCTTTAAAGACACCAGAAAACCTTTGAAAGAGCCGCAAACACAGAATCAGGACAGATTCAATAGATAATTCTGTTTATTTATTTCTAACCATAGACTGACCTGATCATCGCTGCAGCTGCTTCCTGTCACGTCGTGCTCGTTAATAATGTCTCGTTGAGCTTCTGCTGCTTTTCTTTGTCTTGTTTCATTTTTGTTTTTGGTTTGATGAAACCAAACCCGTGAAGGCTTCTCCTTCTGCTCCACCTGCAGTTTGTTGTTTTGCTGAATTAAAGGTCTTTCAGTTAGTAATTGTCTTTACTGCTGATTAGTCTGCAGATCGTTTGAATAATGTGGATCAGAGTTTCCTCAAATGTCCAGAGATGTTCAGTTCAGTGTCCCAGAGGAAAGAAACCAGAACAAAGTTCAGACTGATTTATGAAACATGACCCAGACCGATGGAGTGTTATCAGCTGACAGGTCGACTGTTCTACCGTCTGTAGTTGGACTGTGTGATCAGAACCGGCTCTAACCCGTTCTCCTCCTGCCCCCCCAGCGGTCCCGTACCCTCCCGGGACCCGCCTCACGGTCAAGGACCTGTACGTGGATGGGCGGCCCAGCGTGGAGCTGCTGAAGGCCCACCTGGTGAAGGAGGGCCGGCTGGAGGAGGAGGCCGCCCTGAGGATCATCAACGAGGGCGCCGGCATCCTGAGGCAGGAGAAGTGTATGCTGGAGGTGGAGGCGCCCATCACAGGTAACACAGCTCACCTGGACACACCTGGACACAGTAGAACCACTGGGCCTGGTTGTTCTGACCAACCACCACCACACATGCTGATATGAGCCTGGAACGTTTACCCAGAATGCACTTTGTAAAGTTTCCTCTGGTGAATGATCAGAACCACATCCAGGGTAAAATGAGCACAGTCGCTCCAAATGACCGTCAAAAAGGATTTAAATGATGAAAAATGATTTAAATGATTTAAATGATTCAAGATTTCTCCAGAATAAACCAAAATTTGTCCCAAATTAGTCCAAACTGTCCAGAATGACTTTCAAACTGTTGAAATGGTTCCAAGATTCGAGAAAAACATCATGTGTAAGAAAAGCAGAGTTCAGACTGAGACACCTGGAGGATGTACATCTGATCGGGTTGATTGATCCGTTCAGTCGTCGTGTTGTTGATGGTTTAAAGAGGTAGTAGTCCATTAATCGTGTGTGTGTGTGTGTGTGTGTGTGTGTGTGTGTGTGTGTCTGCAGTGTGCGGTGACGTCCACGGCCAGTTCTTCGACCTGATGAAGCTGTTCGAGGTGGGAGGTTCTCCCAGCTCCACCAGGTACCTGTTCCTGGGAGACTACGTGGACCGAGGCTACTTCAGCATCGAGGTGGGTCCTCCACGTTGTGTTGTTGTTGTGTCTCTGTGTGTGTTGTCGTGTTGTGTGTTTGTGGTGATGGTTTCCGTCTCTTCAGGGTTTCTAGTGATGAACATGTTGTGGGTCCTTCAAACTGTTGACTTACATCCCAGCAGTGAGCACGCTGCCGGCTTCACGTGCACGCTGCCGGCTCCACGTGCACGCTGCCGGCTCCACGTGCACGCTCTCACACGCACTAGACACATTAGCATACGTGCACGCTCGCTGCCTCGGGGTGCGTCCCATTTACTGACAATGTGAGGGACAACGGGCAGGAAGTCGCTGCTGCTGCGGACGTTCCGATTGGCTGCTGCTGTGGTCAGCGGGACGTTCCTATTGGCTGCTGCTGTGGTCAGCGGGACGTTCCTGTTTGTTGGTAATTACTGAACGGACCTCACAGAGACATTCGGTCCAGATTCAGGCCAGAACCAGGTCAGAACCAGCAGTTAAATGACCTGAACTTTGATTATTTTTACACCTGACTGCTGTCAGCGTCACAAACTACAAACTCCAGCGATATGAATGAACATCAGTGGATCCTGAACCCTCCGACTGATTCGTGGAGATACTGATCATCTGCAGCTCTCAGTGTGTTCATGAACCTCAGCAGGTTTATACAACATTAGATGCTGAAAAAGACCTGGAAGTGTTGTAATCATCCATTTTCTGTTGCTTATGGGCTCATTTTACATCGTTTTATGCTCATTCTGTCTCTATGAGGTCATTTCGTGTCTCTTTGTGGGTGCTTTGTGCTCCTTTATGGCCGTTTTCTGTCTCTCTGTGGTTGGTTTGTCTTTGTCAGTTTGTGTTTTTGTGATCATTTTGTGATCTTCGTGGTCCTCCTGGGTGTCCTGGTTGTCGTTTTCTTTGTCTCTCTGTGTCTCTGAGGTCATTTAGTTGAATATTTTGGGTCTTTTTGTTTCCTTGTTGGTATTTTGCATCCCTCTGTGCCTCTTCATGGTCATTTTTTTGTCTCTTTGTGTTTCTTTATTGTTATTTTGAGTTGTTTTGTGTCTCTTTATTTAGATTTTGTGTCCGTTTTAGGTCATTTTGTGTCTCTTTGGGGGTCTTTTTGTGCTCCTTTATAGCCGTTTTGTGATCTTTGCGGTGGTCCTGTGTCTCCTCGTCCTTTTCTTTCCTTCTCGTTGTCCTTCTCTGTGTCTCTGTGATCATCTCTGTGAGTTCTAGCTGATCTGCTGCACCGCCTCACGTGTTCGATACCAGATGTCAGCTTGTGTAATGATCATGGGACGTCAGTATGACACAAAGATTCACTTGATCAACTCAAAACAAGCAGCAGCAGCAGCAGCGTTACACAACCAAAGCCGACACTCGGTCCGTTGTTCTCAGCGATCAGTTGGCGATCATCTGGTCCGATCTTAGTGGACGCCTTCAGAAAAGAACAGAATGGAAGTCAACAGGTGGTTTGATGCTGCAGAAACGCTGACTGGCAGCTGAAAGCAACAGCAGGTGTGTTTGGAGGCAAGACTGACGTTTGGTGTTTGTTCGGATCGCGTTGTCCATCTTGAGCCGACAGGTTTCCTCACTGATCGCCATGCTGCAGAGTTTCTGTGCGAGGCCCGGCTGCAGGCCCCGGTTCTGATCAATAACCACATCGACTAAATCCCTGCGTGATTAAATAATTAATCTGTCAGACCTGCCCGTGCACGCTGACCTGGAAACGGATATCAGAACACCAGAGTCAGTCAGGCTGCAGCCTCCATCTAATCTGGGCTGCTTACTGACAGATGTGATGCCCTGAGTCCAGTCTGACAGGCAGCAGCTCCTGACAGCTGCCTTCAGGACAAGCTCAGGGAGCAAAACTCACATCATCGCCTTCACAGCTCACACTGACAGAAAATGACTTAATAATTGTGCAAAAAACTATTTGAAACTTGTCCAAGGTTAATAGAAATGGTTCTAAAGAGCCCTAAATTTGTCCACAATGACTAACAGCTTGTCTGAAACTGCTTTAAACAAACCTGGAGTCAACACGTCCATCATTTTTCTGAGCCAGCTGATCCATTTTTGTCTGATTACTCAAAGTTTGTTCACAAGAACTCGAAACGTAATTCTTTAAAACTTCCCAAAATGACTCAGAACTTGTCTGAAATGGAAGAGAAAGTCTAAAACTCCTTAAACTTCGTCCAAAATGACCCGTAATTTATCCAAAATGTCTCAAAAACGATTGACAGTTAGTTGGAGGAGACCAAAAGTGGAGCAAAAAGAGAGCCAACGTTGGCGAGGAATCATCGGGAAACAACCACGACTCCAAATAACCAATCATGTTGCTCCATAACAGCACCAGCTACAACTAGCTTCAGCTGTTATTGTTTAATATGGCAAATATATATATATATATGACTCAAAAAATGGCCTGAAATGACCTAAAACTTGTCCAGAATGAGGTGGAGGAGACCAAACATGAAGCTAAAAGAGAGCCAACGCTGGCCTCGTATTGACCAGACGGTGTTTCTGTAGGTGTGTAACCTCTCTGTGTTGTGTTGTGTCGGCAGTGTGTACTGTACCTGTGGGCGCTGAAGATCAACCACCCCAACACCTTGTTCCTGCTCAGAGGCAACCACGAGTGCCGACATCTCACAGAGTACTTCACCTTCAAACAGGAGTGTAAGTCCCGCCGGCCTCTGTGACTGGCTGCAGGCAGTGTGTCCAGTCTGGTCTCACCTGGCTGTGTTTGTACCTGCAGGTAAAATAAAGTACTCTGAGCGAGTATACGATGCCTGCATGGAGGCGTTCGACTGCCTTCCTCTGGCGGCGCTCCTCAACCAGCAGTTCCTGTGCGTTCATGGAGGCCTGAGCCCTGAGATCACCTGCCTGGACGACATCCGGAAGGTAGGACCCTGAACACACCGTCCTCAGACAGCAGGATGGGATCTGATCCACACGTTTGTAGCCGATCGGTATCAGAACCAAGCTTTGTTTAGGTCCGCTGCGTTATCAGTCAGTACGTTGCTTTTAGTCCTGATGGAGTTTCCACAAGAGCTCTGGTTGGAGGTCCTGAACCTCCTCAGAGTCTCTGTCATGGTCCCGTTGCTGCTAAACTCCCACAATGCTCTCTGCTGCCACCATGACTGTAGTCTGTAGACGCCTCCTCTGGTCTCCAGCTGGTGGAACAACCAGGTCCTACAGCGGGTCTACGCTACAACAAGCGTGTGTAAAATTAGTTCAAATTAGTGATAAAAAAACAAACCAACATCTGAAATGCCTTGAACTCAGGTTTGCTGACATTGCAAAAGAGCAAAAAGTGAGGCTATGAAACCAACTAAGGAGAGGAGGAACCCAGATAAGGAACACGGATCAGTTATTGTGTTTACTGTGTCTCTGTTAGTGATGCTAGCTTAGTTCAAAATGACCTAAAGTTGTCCAGAATGACTCAAAACGTATCCAGACTGACAGAAAGATGCTCAAACAACCAGAGTTACTGACAGATTCTCCTAAACTATGTCTTACAATCGTCCAAAAAGATCTAAACATGTCAAAAGTTGTTCTATTCAGGTTGTCGGACCTTTTACGTGCACAAACAGCAGATGAATGACACATTAAAGGAGCCAAAACTCATCCAGACGGTCAATAAATGCCCCAAATAAATTAGAATTAGTCCAGAATGACAATATTTGTGCAAAACAAGTCAGACTGTCTAGAATTACTAAAAAAAAAATATATGTAAATAACATCCCCAATGACAGAAAGTGGCCTAAAGTTTCAGCAAAGTGACTCCAAGTTGATCTAAAATGCCAAAAACAGGCCTTAAGCTGCTCAGCATGGTCCAAAGTAACAGAACTGGTCTAGAATAAAAATATTTCTAAATGTCAAATATGAATTAAAATGACAATATTTGTAGAAAACAACTCAGATTGTGTCCAGAGTTACTGAAAAATGTCAAACATAACTTCAATAATATCCTCAATGACAGAAAAACCCAGAATGGACTATAGATGGTGAATGATCTGCACTTCTACAGCTTTTCTACCTCAGCGGCACTCAAAGCGCTTTACAGTGTTTCTCATTCACCCGTTCACACACCAGCAGCCACAGAACTCCATCAAGCTGCTGCTGCCATCAGGAGCAACTTCAGCTTCAGTGTCTTGCCCAAGGACACTGTGACTGTGGAGGGGATGGAACCAGCAACCTTAAGATCAGAGGACAACCTGCTGATCAGAGGACAACCTGCTGTACCCCCTGAGCCACAGCTGCCCCCCAAAAATGCCCCATTTAATTCAAATTGATCCATAATGACAACATTTGTACAAAACAACTCAACTTGTGTCTAAAATTACTCAGAAAATGTCAAACATTACGTAAATAACCTCCTCAGTGACAGACAAAAACCCAAATGTCTCAAGGTTTCTTTAAAGTGACTCAAAATTGAGCCAAAATGACAAAACAACAGACAAATGACTGAAAATGAGTCCAGAGTGACAGCATTTGTAGAAAACAACTCAAGATTGTGTCCAGAGTCACTCACAAGGTGTTCACAAACACTCCAGCATGTTCTGGAAGCCCAGAGGCCTGCTGTCGGTTCTGGGTTCAGTCTGGAAGGAATCAGCAGAACCTCACCCGTTCTGACGGCTCTGCTTGTCTCCTGCAGCTGGACCGGTTCAAGGAGCCTCCAGCCTTCGGGCCGATGTGCGACCTGCTGTGGTCGGACCCCGGCGAGGACTACGGCTCGGAGAAGACCCAGGAGCACTTCTGCCACAACAGCGTCCGAGGCTGCTCGTACTTCTACAGGTAGGAGGCTCCAGAGCGCCCGGCGCCGCTCGGCGCTGGTACAAGGCTGCAGGACCGCAGCGTTAATCTGATTAAAGCTCAACAATGGCTTATCTCTGGATAAGTGACTGCTGCCCAAATCCGCTGTCACACCACAAATATTAGCTTTCTCTGCTCCGTCTTCATATGTGTGCCGTTAAAACCACGGAGGTCACAGAAAAGCCTCTTTATCCGCCGCCGCCGCCACGCTGCTTCAGCAGCTCCACCGTCAGACAGACGGTTCTGGGACGACTCCAACACGTCTGGTGCTGCCGAGCCTCCGCCGGTCCGAACCACGTCCAGGGTCCAGAATGCTAACAAACGGGTCAGGATGCTCGTCAGCGATGGTTTAAACTAGACGGGTGTCAGGAGCACGGAGCAGAAAGAGGAGTGGTCCAGAACCGGGTTCATTCTAAACAGAATCTAAACTTCTTCAGTGGATTTGTTTTGGTTTCTTTCCTCTAAAGTGAACATCTCTGGACTGAACCAGGCGTCTGAGGAAACTCTGATCCACATGTTCTGTATTCTAGGTTCGAGCGGCACCGTTTTGTTGTTGATTATCGACAGCGTAGAGCTGTCACTGTTACTGCTGAACGTCTCCTGATGAACCCATCAGTTGTTTCATCTGTAAAGAGGCGAAAACATCAGTCTGTGGACCTGGAAAGTTCCTTCATTCTGCAGTGAAATCAGGCTGCACACACCAGTGATCTAATGATCGTCTCATCTGCTGAGAAGGTTTTGTTCACGTTTCACACCTTCAGTCAAAAAGGGAAGTGTTCAGTTTACTGTCACATGTGACTAGAAACCTTCATATTTGTGAAGCGAGCAGCAGCAAATGTTTCGTTAAACGTACGGCGAGGTTCTATTCAGTAGTCCTGATCTTTAAATATATATACAGTTCTGGGTTTGTGTGGCTGAAGTCTGAACCCAGTGATGTCCAGCGTGGTGTTTGCTCTGAGTATCGGCGTTTCTTTCACTGATCGTGTCGTCCACAGATGAAGTCTTGTTTCCTCCCAGCAGCACAGACTCCGTGTGACAAAGACAAACATCCAACCAGAAGGAAAGCTGCACATATCTCACATCTCCATTGAGAATCACAGCAGCTGTGGATGAGGTTCTGTGGTTCTGTGCGGCTGTCACGGCCTCGGTGCCGCTCTGTGTTTCTGATCGTTTTCTGAAGTGAGTCGGCGTTTCTGCGAGGATCAGAACGACGCTCCCCCACCTCCTGCGTTAAAGCCCCGACCTTAATTAATCCCTAATTTTAGCACTATTAGCATCTCTTGTCATACTTGAGTCTGAGCGGCCTTCTTCGCTGCCATGGCGACCGAGGAGGCGGCTGAGCGACAGCCGAGCGGTGGGAGGACGCCGGTCCGGTCGGGCTACAGCTGAAGCGCATCGCGTGGCTTCCTCGCCGCTAACTCGCCTGTTTGTGTGTGTTTTTGTTCCAGCTACCCGGCGGTTTGTGACTTCCTGATGAACAATAACCTGTTGTCTGTAATACGAGCACACGAAGCCCAGGACGCCGGGTGAGTCAGAACCGCTCAGATCTGCTGTTGGTCAGACTCAACCAGACAAAAGTAGGTTTTACAGCAGCAGCAGCGAGCGGAGCGGCGTGAAATATCAGCTGAATGTCAACAGGGTGGAACAAACACTCCATAAAGACGAGTTTAGACATCAGGCCTCAAGCAGAAACTAGAAGCAGCTGAATGACCATTACATCCCCGATTCTCTGACTGAAAACCGTCCTAAAGGTCTGTAAATATTCAGAATAATGGTCCACCGTGACTGAGAAAGTACTGAAAGTGGTGAAAGTTGTCCAACTGACTCAGAAATGGAAAATGAACAAGTTAACAACGTCCAGAATTACTGAAAATACCTCAAACACAAGTTAAAAATGTATACATTTGCCCAAAATGGTTAAAATTGCTAAAACAAGTTTAAAAAATGTCCACAGTGACTCAAATTTACTCCAAAATAATTGAAATTTGTCTAAAATGACTCCAAACTTATTAAAAACAAGTCAACATGTGCTCACAATGACATAAAAAGCATCCAGAGTGACTGAAAGCGTGTCCAAGACGAGTTAAAATTTGTCCAAACTGACTCAGAAATGTAAACTGATCAAGTTAATAACTGTCCAGGATTACTCAAACTGTTTCCAACAAAAGTGGCCAAAAAAGCAAAAACATATGTGTTGAAAATGACTCAATATTTGTCCAAAATGAGCTAAAAATGTTCCAGATTGACTGAAAACTGTCCAAAATGTCTGTAAATATTTAGAACAACGGTCCACGGTGACTTGGAATGTACTGAAAGTGGTGAAAGTCGTCCAAACAGACTCAGAAATGTTACATGAAAGAGATCAGAATTGTCCAGAATTACTTAAAACATCTCAAACACAAGTTAAAAGTGTGTAAATTTGCTCAAAATGATGCAAAAATATTTCCAGTATGAGTTAAAATTGGTCTAAAACAAGTAAAGAAAAAAAAGCAATGACTCAAAATGACTCCAAAATAATTGAAATTGGTCCAAAATAACCTAAATTCATTCTAAAATGACTCAAACTGTTTCCATCAAAGTTAGCCAAAAAGACAAAAACATATGTGTTGAAAATGACTCAATATTTGTCCAAAATTAGCTAAAAATGTTCCAGATTGACTGAAATTTGTCCAGAATGTCTCCAGACTTATGAAAAACAAGTCAACATGTGACTTCACACACATCCAGAATGACTGAAACGTTTCCAAGACGAGTTAAAATGACTCTAATATAATAAAACTGTTTTCTAATGAAACAGATGAGTTGTGTCAGCGGTGCTGCTGCTGGTCACCTTAAAGACTGAGTTTCTGGGTTTTATACCAAATATTGCAGAAATAAGTATAAATAGTCTACAGTACCGTAGAAATGCTGCTGTTTGTCATTGTGTGAGCGCAGCCTGTTGGTTTATTAATGTGTTAAATGTCACGTCCTGAGACACAGAAACGATCAGAATCAATAACCAATAATCAATAACTGTGTCCGTCAGGTACCGAATGTACAGGAAAAGTCAGACGACGGGCTTCCCTTCCTTAATCACAATCTTCTCTGCTCCCAACTACCTGGACGTGTACAATAACAAAGGTAAGACGAGGGAGAGGGAAACCATGGCAACAGGTAGGCCAGCGTGGCGCCGTGGCAACAGGAGGCAGAAGATGAAGCGGGATGTTAATGTGTGTTTGTTCTGTCGTCAGCGGCGGTGCTGAAGTACGAGAACAACGTGATGAACATCCGGCAGTTCAACTGCTCCCCCCACCCCTACTGGCTGCCCAACTTCATGGACGTCTTCACCTGGTCGCTGCCCTTCGTCGGGGAGAAAGGTGAGAGGAGCACACCTGGGTGGAGGTGGAGGCCGCCCAGCTCAGACCGCACTGACCGCTGCCATCACACCCTCTGGTTAAACCGTTAGACCCACCGGGTCAGAACCGGTTCCACCAGACGTCTGGGGACCGTCATGTCTAGTGTTGAGACCCAAAGCTTAGTTCCATGGATCCATTTAAAGGTTCAGAGTCTCCAGAAATAAACCTCCAGCAGTCATGAAGTCTGGTGACTCAGACAGAACGGTTCCATCAGACGACTGAATGCATCCAACAGTGGATGGGTTTTAGTTACTGGACCTTGAAAACTGGAAACATTTCCAACCAGAGAGTCCCTGTCAGTGTCTGTCTGTGGATGGATCCATGGTTCTACTAGAATCCAGTCTCTGGTCACATCTCGGGTGTTGGTTCTAGACGTTGGTTCTAAATCTACAACCTGAGTTGAGATCATAAAGTCTGTGTCACTTACTAAAGTTCTTTTGATCTACGTTACACAAGACGTGTTCAAAGTGAATCCAGATCAGTCCAAATGGATTCAAACAGGATCCAGAACTACTCAGGATTCATCTAGAATGACCTGAAGTTGGTCCACGATGAGTTAAAACATCCACAGAGCCTCCTGGAGAATCTTCACGTGTACAGGAGTCGAGCAGATGCTGTGTTTGCTGATGACTGTCTTCTCTAACTGAAGTCTGTCCTGCTGTGGTTTCCATAGTGACGGAGATGCTGGTGAACGTGCTGAACATCTGCTCCGATGACGAGCTCATGTCTGAAGGCGACGACACCTGTGAGGGTAAGAACATCGTCAGAACCTTCTCTCCTAAAGTCTGTCAGCTTCAGCTCAGAGACGAAGCTTCTCAGGAGGAAACTCGTCTGTTTGACACCTCCGAGTGTTTGTCACGCGGTGGTATGAAGGCTCTTCCTGTTGGTGGACTCGTGAAACTTCACACGTTTCTGCTCGCTCTGTCACTGGTAGTGTTTCTATTGATCAGCGGCTGGCCGTCCTTGAACACCAGCGGCAGCAATAAAAGCTGTTTTCTGTAGTGGAGTGAAAGGAAGCCCACGCAGAGGCTCAGAGGAGGTGAGTTAAGGTCTCAGATAAGTGCTGAGGGAGGAAGTCAGGTTCTTAACTCCTCTGAGCTTCACATAGGAAGGCCTTCAGATGAACTCTCAGCAGTGACAGGGACCTGAACGCATCACGAGCAGCTCAGAGAGACGCAGTAACTCCTAAATATCAGCCCTGTGTTGAAGTTATTAATATATGAATAACTTCCACATTCAGATGAATCCTGTGAGCTCACAGGTGTACGAACCTTTGTAGTATTTAGTTATTAAACTGATATGACCAGTGTGAACAGCAGAATACTTCACAGGTAAACAGGAACACGGCGTACAGACTCATTCATTCATCATCTGAGCTCAAACGATGACCAGTGTTTGTACTAACATCAGTCATTTATGTTTGAAATGTTAAATTGTACATCCAAGTAATTTAAATGTGTAACGTTTGGGTGTTGATTAATAATTTAAGTTCAGACATTTATAAAGTTTTTCCTGCAAATTTGTGTTTTGTGTTTAAAAAATTAGAGAACAAATGAAGAACATGCAGAGAAACATGAAGTATAGAAAACTAGTGACTTTACATCATGAACACATGAAACTATGTAAAATATCTGGTATGTATGTTCAGCACTGAGTAAAGCCAGGATGTAGTCAGTGTGCAACCAGTATGTAACCAGTGTATAACTAGTATAAAACCAGTTTATAACTAGTATAGTAACTAATCTATAACCAGTTTATAACTAGTTAATAACTAGTATATAACAGTGTATAACTATTATAGTGACTAGTATATATCCAGTGTATAACTAGTATAGTAACTAGTATAAAACAGTGTATAACTAGTTTAGTAACTAGTATATAACCCGTGTATGACCAGTGTGTAATTAGTATTTAACTTGTATAGCAACTAGTATAGTAACCAGTGTATAACCAGTAGTGACTAGTATTGTACCTAGTATAGNTGTATGACCAGTGTGGTAACTAGTCTAATCGGAAGCCGTGTGTTTCAGTCTCCTGATCACGACTCCCTTTAACACTTTCAAGGTCTCACCGTTTCATTCATCGTGTTCACCTGCAGCTGGTTGCCATGGCAACACAACACGGCAGGTATCACTGCGCCAGGTTTCATGAAGGTTTAAAACAATCCGTCCTTCATCACCTCATCACTCACGTGGATCCATCCGCCGCTGGAACTAGTCCCAGTAGACGGCTGACTGGACATGTGACCATGTGTTTATGTCAGAGCAGATAAAACAGGAAGAGATGATCTCACGGGACGTATTAAAATAGATTAATATAATTTATTATTTTAATCAAAGCTAACGTGAATCATCACATAATGAATGAGATGCTGACGGAGCCGCTGAAACCTTCACCGTGTTCAAGTGAGTCGTGATCAGGACACGGCTGCTGGTTATACTAGTTACTCTACTACTTATGTACTAGTTATTGTACTGGTTATGTGCTAGTTGCTATTCAGGTTAAATACTGGTTACATTCTGGTTACGTACAAGTTGCCATACTAGTTAGATACTAGTTACTATACTGGTTATATACTAGTTATATACTGGGAATGTACTAGTTGCTGTACTGGTTAAATACTAGTTATATACGGGTTATATACTAGTTACTATTCTAGTTAAATACTGGTTACATTCTGGTTATATCCTAGTTACTACACTAGTTAGATACTAGTTACTATACTAGCTACTATTCTTTTTGTATACTAGTTATATACTGGGAATGTACTAGTTGATGTACTGGTTATGTACTAGTTATATACGGGTTATATGCAAGTTACTATTTTAGTTAAATACTGGTTACATTCTGGTTATATACTAGTTACTATACTAGTTACTATACTGTTTATGTACTAGTTACATACTGGGAATATACTAGTTGCTGTACTGGTTATATACTAGTTACTATATAGGTTATATGCAAGTTACTTTACTGGTTAAATACTGGTTATATACTAGTTACTATACTGGTTATATACTTGTTACTATACTAGTTAAATACTGGTTACATTCTGGTTATGTACTAGTCACTATACTGTTATATACTAGTTACTATACTAGTTACTGTACCGGTTAAATGCTTGTTGAGTACTGATTATATACTAGTTAATGTAATGGTTAGATATTTGTGAAGTACTGGTTATGTACTAGTTACTGTACTGGTTAGATACTAGTAACTGTACTCGTTAAATACTGGTTATACACTAGTTATAAACTGGTCATAAACTGGTATTAAACTAGTTATAGACTTTATAAACTGGTCATGAACTGTCCATAAACTGGTCATAAACTGGTCATAAACTGGTTATCTGCTGGTTCTACACTCGTTGTCTTTGTGACTTTTTATTGAGTGTGCGAGTTAACGTCAGGACTACTACAGAAAAAGCTCATTCATATTCAGATGTTTGCTATTTAAGCTGAAGTATTTCATATAGAAATTAGAATTAAAGTTATTAATTTACAGGTTTCAGTTTCTTTGTTTCCAAATATTATTGTTTACAATTAATTTTGTTTTCACACAGAATAAAGTCACTTTTTATACATCTGATTATTTTATACACACGTTATATGCGTGTGTCTGTTATTTATTTGTACCCGTTTTATTTTATTTTATTTTTCACACTCAGTTTATTGATTTAAATGTGACTGTGTTGGTTTCAGGCGGAGCTCCGGCTGTGAGGAAGGAGGTGATCAGAAATAAGATCAGAGCGATCGGCAAGATGGCTCGCGTCTTCTCTGTGCTCAGGTCGGTGGAGTTTATGGACAGAAACACGATTTAGAACCTTTAGTTTATCATCAGAACACAAAGAGCAGGTTACAGTGACACTCAGAGAGCTTTTAGGTTTAAATTAAAGGCTGTGAACCAGATTAAAACTGCAGACTTTCATCTCTCTGACATTTCTCAGCAACATTTTATTAATAACTTAGAACATCATTATTGTTACATCTTATTGTCATTTCAATACTTTAAAATGTTTATTATATTTTATTAAACTTTTTGTTGTTGTTTTTGACAGTTCACTGATATTTTATTGATATTTTGTTATTTTTCCACTTTTTATGAACATTAATACATTTTATTTTTTTTTCTCTGTTATTAATATTTTTAGACTTTTTATATTATTTTTAACGAACAACAATTTTATTCAAAATATTGAATGTAGAATATTTCTTTTAATTTTTTATTCATCATTATTTTGTGATTTTATATAATTTTTCAGACGTTTTCTGAACATTTTATCGACATTTTCAGAACAATCATTTCCATCACATGTCAACAGTTTATTGCTGGAACCTGAGGACGACTCTAAATCGGAGCTGATTGAATCTATTTAAAGCGCGTTCTGTCTGGTTTTGGGTCTGAATGAACAGATTTCTCCGATAAACGAGGTTATTGGACAGGACGAGTTCTGCCTGACTTTGCTCCACTTTAGTTTAAGGCTAATGACTTCTCCGGATTCGTCCTCCTTTAATCTGGAAGTGTGTCACAACAATCTGTCCTGAAACGTGAGCGTTCCTGTTACTCAGAGCGCCGCTGCCACCTCCACGGCTTACCACAGAACCGAGCCGTCTCCCAGCATCGGTTCTGCTGCCTGTTGTTAAGTTCTGTTTGATCGCACGTCGGCGGGTCCGTTTGGATCAAAGCGAAGAGCAGAACCTGAACAGGAAGAATGTGGAGCAGAAGAAGACCCAAACTGAATCTAGTGAGCCTGAAGGAACAGAGAGCTCCGTCTGGTGGAACCGGGTTCATGTGATTTATGGATTAAATGACGACCAGAGTCCAGCAGAAACAGCTTTAATCTCATCAGTGGTTCTGTTCCGTCTGCTGCTTGGCTCATGGTTCTGTTCCACTCAAACTAAAACGCTTTTCTGTCAGACGAGGTTTTAAATCAGCGTTCAGCAGCTTTTAGTGAGTTTTAGTCTGTTCCACAGGATTCAGGGCTTTACTGATATTTTAATCTCTTTTTGTCGTTTTATTGATATTTTTGGATGTTTTTTTCATAATTTCTGACATTTGGCTATTTTATTTTATTTAATTTCATTTCATTTTTTAATTTTTTTCCCCAAAGACATTTAATTAACATTTTTAAAGATATTTTATTTGTGTTTTTTTTGTGACATTTTGAAAATATTTTTAGACATTTTGTTAATTTTTGCATTGATTATTACATTTTGTCTTATTTTTTAGAACATTTTATTATTATTTTGACCTTTTATGAATAATTTCTGGATATTTTATTATACTTTTAATATTGTATGTTTTTTATTATGTTCTTGCATTTTATTAATATTTTTTAAAACATTTCATTATTTGACTTTTTTCAGACTTTTTTTGTCTTTATTGAGAGTTTAGCTGTTTCTGAAGTGTATTGGTTCTGATTGTGTGTGTTGTGTGTGTTTTGTGTGTGTGTCGGTGTCGGTGTGTGTGTGTGTGTGTGTGTGTGTGTGTGTTGTGTGTGTTTCCAGGGAGGAGAACGAGAGCGTGCTGCAGCTGAAGGGCCTCACCCCGACAGGAACCCTCCCTCTGGGGGTTCTGTCCGGAGGCCGGCGGACTCTGCAGAGCGGTGAGTGAGCGACTAACCCGAGTCAGCCGACACTAACTGACCCGCCTGCACTAACCAGCGGCACCAGCAAAACCAGCAACACCAGTAACACACAGTCAGGGGATGTGGGGGTGTGTTCAGAGAGACGCCTGCTGCCCTGCAAACGCCGCTCAGAGCGTGTTGTCAGGACGTGTTCCATGTGGTTCTGAGCTCTAACGGGACGGTTCTGGGTTCTGGCGCTGATTGAACTCATCGGCCGTGTTCTGTAATCACAGGGTCCGTTGATCTGGTGGTTGATTTTTATTAAACGTTAATTCTGTGAACAACAATCGAAAAACATCCAGGTTATGGTCACATGTGAGCAGGATGACATCAGCGTGAGGCCCCGCCCCTCTGGTACAGTTCTGGACGTGATCAGGAAATACTGGACTTTATTGATTAATGATGAATTCACCGATCATCATTGTACTGGTGGTGTTTGTCTTCACTTCTGTTGGTTTAAGGATCATGTCTGGATATTTCATTCTGATGTTTTTTACCTTTTCTATGTATGACATCATTAAATGAACAGTTTCTAAGGATCCTGATTGGCTGAGGAAACCAGAGAAACCCTGAACTATTTTAAACTGCGTTCAAAATCCCCGTTTAGACGAAACAGGAAGTCGGCTCCGGTCCTCCAGCTGATTGGCTGATCGGTGCACTGTCACGTTAAAAGGCTCTGCTCAGGGTTGGTGAAGCATGCTGGCTTTTCAAAATAAAATGTATCAACTGTACCTGATATAATAATACCAGGATCTCTGAGTGTCAATAATGATTTTATTCTGAAAGTTTCAAGTTGAAATGCTTCCTGGACCGATTCCTCCTGCTGCTCAGAAGATG